TCATGATTCAAAGTGGAAACACCTGACAGGACAACTCAATAGTATTTATTGTTTGTGAGAATACATGATATTAAACAAAAAAAACTTTTAGTTAAAACTTTAGTTCAATTTATTATGCATCAACTGAAATAATGTGTTCAGAAGTTTATCGTATTACATTTATATAGAGTAACAGCACTAACATCAAACATATTGTTTGAAATTTGATTCTCGGGCCACAAAACCATTGTATCAGTGGGATCGCAATATTAAAGTGCAATGTTTAAATTGTTCGTTGATGGTTTATCAAAAAGTGTCTTTCTAAGGGAGAATTGTGAAGTTCATGACAGGCGACAATAGAAATATTAGGTTAAAAGTAGATTAGTAATATTTTTATAGAGTTATTCATTGATTAAAAGTAGCAGGTGTTATTTATAACTCAATGTTTTATTTTGAGCTAAAGCTGTCTACTAAGCCGATATAAGCTTAGTTAAAGCTTTTTATAATTATTTGTTGAAACGTAAATTCAGCACTTGTGCTGTATTCATCGCGTTTTCAGCCAATCTAAAATGTATTCTAGTTTGTTCATCCGAGACAGCGCAAATCATTAATTACTTCTTGCGGATTAAACGTGAAACGCACAACTGCTAAACTGCATTTGAAATAACGAAGCATGAAGCACCTAAATAGAATAGAAAATGGTTGAAAGAGTTGGAACACAAATTAAATTAACGTGTGAAAATGTATGAATTGTTTTGCTGTGGTGAACCAATTCTTTAACAGGCATTTGACGTAGCATGAAATATAACTTTAAAAATTGAACTGGATCTGTAGTTGTATTGATGTATTTGTAACTCGTATGTATGAAAAATTGGTTACAACAATTTCTAACAACCAATTATTAAATACGAAAATAAAATGATAGGTAAATTGATTTTTAAATGGTAATTCATTTTGTATTGAGATCGGAAGCCGTACCAAAAATTAATTAATATTACAGTGTTCAAACCTTTTTTTAAAACTGGTTGCATTATTTTATTGCATTGTTATTCCATTTATTTCAATGTCTTGTCAAACTGTGTCGTTTGTATAGGAATAATTTTCATTCAAAAGCTGCATTGAAATGGGAAATGACAGGCAAAGTGATCACAAAAACTGAATAAATGAAAATATAGCAGTTATTAAAATATGAAAATGTCACTAGCATGCACTTGGGACTGAACCAGCAAGTTTCAGATTTGAAGGCGAGCTCTGTAATCTTTCAGCTAGCCAGACTATCATAAAATGGGCCAGGTCTAAGAATTATTCGTTAACATTATACAGTAAAAGTATTTATGAACCAAAGCAAGACAGTAAACATGTTTTTGAACAAAATGGGTTTTACGCCACACTACATTATTTTGACGAACTTCCCACGCAAGGATTTAGTCCAGAAAACAGCTGTTTGCCGCCAGCTTATTCAAATGGGGTTTCATTGCGTACTACTGTGCTGCAATGAGTTTTGCCGGACACCAATCAGCTGATTATACTGTATTTAGGTGGCAGTGAGTGGTTATAAACAAAAACATAACCTCTCTTAGAGGTTATGACTAGTGATTTTTATTCATTTAGTTGGTGAAAATATATAAGGATTTGTACGGATTTAGTAGTATGGCGTAAACTATCGTACGTAACTCGTCCAAAATGTGTGTACCGGACTCGTATGGTAATCCCGTACTCGACTTCGTCTCGCACGGGAACGACCACACTCGTCCGGTAAACACTTATTTTCAGGACTAGTAACGTAATATACTATTCCAATAAAATTTAGAAATAATCTCCTTTAAAATAGTTAACTTAGCAATAATGCAGTACAAAAGACTTTAAGTAGCTTGTGATATTTACGTAAGATATAACGAGCACAACTCGAGTTGTAAAGTAAATAGGTCAGGAGTAAGTGGTTAGTGGCTTGGTGGTGTTTACATTTAGCAAATTGTAAGTTGTTTCAAATAATAAATTGGTATTCATTCAAAATTATATAAAATACTAGCTGCTGTACCCGTGCTTCGCGACATGAATAAAAATCAGTTTCATAATCAATGGCATAGATTTAGAATAAATAATAATTAATGATACATTTTTAGATTAAAATAATTATCCTACCACATTGAAATGTAAAATATATTTTAATATCTTTGGATCGTTTGTGAAAAAGCATTTGACAGTTCTGATTGTTTCCATTGGACTGCCAAAGCAAAGGTAAACATTGTGAATTTTCTTATGGAGACGAATTAATATTTACTTTGGAAAACCTCACCTTAAAACTTTGGAAATCCAAGGGGCATAGCCCGAGAGACAATCAGAGAAGTGAATAGACCTATGACATTCCTAGATATATCTTGGTGCTTAATTTCGGCTGTATCGGTTTAGTCGTGACAACTGCCCCGACAAACAGACAGTCAGACTCCGCCTCAATTTTATAATAGTATAGATAGATAGTTTAATCACTCATATAGATGTTTGGTAAGCCAATAAACATGTGCTAAATAAAGTATTAACAAAATCTCCAAAAATGCACAACAAACTACAATTAATCTACACACATCTTCTAAATATCATAACTCGGCATGATAGGTACTCAGATGTAAGTATATTGTACTAACGAAAATATCCCTGGAAATGTAAAATAAACATTTCATAGATAATATGTAATCAATTATCATGTTTGTTGGGATAGAAGAAGAAATTTTTGTTGGTAAAGTTGAAAAAAGAATGTAATTCAAATAATAAAATAGATAAAACGTAAAATCTTAAGATAAAAGTCTTTTATTAACAAGCAATATACAACAATTAATTTACTCCACATAAGAATCTCATGGCAAAAAATATATGTTCCTTTCAATAATAATTTGAGCTACTGGTGGTTTTGGCACCCCAAAAACCTATTTGGATCCAAAAAGAAAATATTCATGGTTAATTTAACAACTAAATGTGGACATTGGCCTTATAAGTATGGAAATAACTAAGTCCATATAGGAAATGAGAGCCTAACCAAGTAGCTTTAATTAACCAATATGGCATAAGGGCCAAGTATATATTGGAACTACATATTGATTGTGGAATGTTTGGATCCGACTCACTTTGATACATCCAATAGACAGCCATTGTATGCACAAAGGCATCTTATACCCACACGAGTCTAGTGTTTATGTATGTTAGTGTGCTGCTTTGCCTAATTATAGCCAGACGTGTATAGTCAATGTTACAGCACAACTAGTAGGTTCCTAAAGTAACTTTTCAGAGTACATTGCTAAAGCCGTTATTTCAAATAAACGGATTTAGAAAGTAATTTTCCCCCCAAAAGTATCAGCTGAAAGTGTAGAAATTATGAAAACGGTCCCGATTAGTACAAATACTATTGTTCCGTTATAAAATTATTGTGTGCTTTTCATTGTGTGACATTGTATGTGTTTTAAAATAAATACCTTTTATTGACAACTTAACACATAACAATTTAAAAATATGCCAACGTAATTTGAACCAATTATTGCGTTGGCGGAGTGATACCTAATGCGTTTAAAATATGATCTGTAAATCATAGTAATTTATAGCAAAACTACGTGGAAACCATTGTGCAAGCTAACCCACAACAATGGTGAACAAAGTTGTTGGCCCAAATCACATAATATAAAATGTTGATTGTGTAGATATTTCCCTATATACCCTATATACTGTGTATATGTTAACAGCATAATTTCTCTGAAATATGAATAGTCCTGATGTGTGACGGAATGATGTACAGTAATTGGTTGTGATTCTGCTATTCAAAATATAATTTTTAATCTAGGTAAAATTTGAATATAATATTACTACGAGTATTAAGAATTTTATGCAGTATTTATGTCGAGTATTTTCAATGTTTTTGCTGTTGAAGACTTTAATTTAGCTTCAGAACCAGACATAAATGCGGGTATAATACTACATAGCCCACAATCTCTTTGTTGCAACTTTGTTGAGTATTTCTTGGAATTTCAGTTTTCTTTAAGTATGTTTTTTTACTTGTTCTGTACTCTGACACGTTTCTTTAACTGTAAACTCAATGTTGAAGACAAATCTTCAAACATTGCTCCAAACTGATTGTAAAGGCTCACGTAAATATATTTCCGGGTGTTCACGAAGTTATAGATTTGGCTTGAGTATTCATTGTGTTTTCTTGGGACAATGTCTTAAGTTTCACACATACTGTTGACGTACTTGTTTAAACTGTGTACAAAAGTCATACAAACCAATTCATTGCTGTTTAAACTATAAACAAAAAAAAATAGCTACTCAAAGAAAATAATATTTTAACGCTTTTCATGTATGTTGAGTTTCTTTAATCTGTGTCAAATTAAAAACCCCTTTTGGATAAGCTGTTTGACAATTACAACAAAATTTAATCCCACAGCCCCAACCCACGCGCACGGTTAGTTTAGTTTTTTAGAGTGTGACTACTACATTCCCGGAAGAGCTCCATTGAATACCACACCAATGGGTTTGCTAGGCAATTCCCAGGCCGGGTGCTTCGAAGCCTATCTTGAGCTTTTAGGTCCACTAAGCTTGAAAACAGGAAAGACAAAGTCTTTTGGTGATAAGAACTCTGCATCGTAGAACCCCCTCCCGTAAAAGCCAGCATAGGTTTGCAATATGTTATGTCAAAATCCCTATGGTTATTTTATAGGATCATCTTTTTCATGTAAGAAAACTGATTGGAATCTAACTTTTACTATGAGAGTGATTAGTTGCACTTTGTGTTTTTATGTTTGTAAACATTGTTTATCAAAATGCCGATATGTTATCATTGATTCCCCGTACAGATTTAATTATACTGGTTGAATAAAAATAGTCCAATTAGAATTATGTAAAATGTATAATATTGTTTCAAGCAGTGGTGTGCCGCAGTCATTTGAATTTACCTTGTACCTAACGTCATCTTTAATTTCACGCGGAAAATTGACTTGTAATTGTTAAATAAATACCTGGATTGCTTATGTATATTACAGTGTGTTGTTTCAGGTCGGGGCATGCCACAGAGGGTGCTACACCAACACTAACGACGTCTAGAGGAGGTAATATGATTAGTGTCAAGTCAAGGTGTTAGTCTTATCACGGGCTGCCACATGGCATTATGACGTCAATGGTTTAGAGACAATGTATGCAGCTTAATTATGATGTTAGATATACTAATTTCATTGTATTACCATTGACATTTTAGATACTGAAGTAGGCACCCGTATAAACACCCACTGTTGCTATTAAACAATAGTCCAATGAGCGATTCACATTGTGTGCTATTAAATATACTCTTCATACTTAATTGAGGAAATATGTTCTTGCACTGACGTCAATGCTATTATTAAAAAGGAGATGCCATTGTTCATACTTTTAGCATTATATATTACTTTTGTGCTAATCTTAATCTGTGTTAAGTATTAAATAGTGTTTACTTGACTTAATTGATTTCTTTATTGGACATAATTGAAACATAATTGACACTTGAGCCATGGATAATCTATGCCTACCTTTTAGTTTTTACTACTTGTTGATCAAACTTGATAAACTATTAAAGTTTTATGGATGTTTTGACTGAGATATAGATTGTTGCACCACAAGATTGACACAGCGTTCATAACTATTAATGGGTCAAAGCTAAGTTTAGATTCCATTTCAGGTCAAGACAATTCTTAGGTTGAAGTGGTTCATTGTTATTCGTAAGGTTGTGCCTTTGAAAAACTTAAGTATTTGTTCTATATCTCTTTGACTAAGCATTTTTAATTGGCAGTAAACCAACATTAATTTGTTCGCATCATATTTCCTAATAATAAGGCTATTTTTCATTTTGATTATGCTTGGACTACTAAAATATCCAACAATTGTTGCACTCTGTTTTACACCATTGTTGGTTCCTGGTCGTTCAAACACAAGATTCTTATTTTTATGTGTTATTATTAAAACTTTAAAAATCAGGAACTAAAAGATTTGAAAGTGTTGGGTAGACAAACTTCACACATATATGTGTTGTGTTGGCTTTTTTACTTCTCGTACAAACATTTTCACTTATAAAAAATCGCTAAGAAGCTGGAAAACTAAATGGATCACAATATTCACACGCATCTACAAGGTTCAATATCTGTTCATTAAAATGAACAAAGATATGGTTCTGGTCTGTTCAGATGCGGTCAGAACCAGGAGTGATTCTAGATGAGGAGGCGAGCACCGGATGTTGCTGGGACTCAACAGCTGCGAGTCAACCGGACACAGATACCTCTTCAGTGAGTATCTGTATATGTACTTCAAACTGTATGGATAACAAACATACATAAGGGGAATTGGTCTGAACCCCTGATACATTTGTGGATATCGAAACCGACCCTCTCGCACAGAGTTGGATACCATAAGCACAAGGATAGCAACACACTGCTGTTTTGTGCATAGTTTCTACAACTGATTTACAAGTACCTACCTTATTGGAGTTGTTAGTATAGATCTCAAAGAAAAGAAACCTTAAGTATTATTAAAAATCTAAATCGTATGGGATTTGTATTTTAAGTACTTAAACCTACGTGTGTTTTAATGAACGTCAAAAACCTGACTAAGATTTCCTAAATGCCATTGAAGGTTGAGGAAATTCGTTATTTTTAGATTAGTGACGAGGCGAGTTTGACGGAACCATTGACAACCAGAAGTCGCATATCCGGATCCGGCAGTAGCGCTGGCCGGAAAAGGAAACCAATTTTGAACGCGAGGGAGAAGAACATGAGAAGACTGGAGAGCAACGAACGAGAAAGAATGAGAATGCACAGCTTGAATGACGCCTTCCAGGTAACTTATGGAGATTAGTGAACAGAACTAGTTTATTTGTTATGTTTAACTAAATAAATAGAATTTTTTCCTACAGTTACCTAACAATGTATACTCTCACTGATTTGAGAAAGCAAAGTAGCCAGTTTGCTCATCAGTGAGACAATGTTAACATTGTCTCACTCTAATTACTTTGTCTCACTCCAGATTTGCAGCATGAAGGCACGAAATAGTGAGCGCGTAACATGCAGGCAACGTCCTATGCGCACGAAATACGTTGGCAGCACTGGCTGTAAATCAGCTGGTCAGCTGTTGTACTGTTGTATTTGTCACTACACATGTTATATTAAAAGTTCACTTCTGTGCAAAAATAGGTTAAATGTTTCTTCACCAATTTATTTGTTTTATGGTAACTGTAGGAAAAGTATAATGTGCAACTCGAGTTCAAAGTGCAATTGCCTCACTCGAGAAACCATTCCTCACTCGCCTACGGCTCGTGAGTAAGGATTTCTCTCGAGTGAGTCAATTGCTCACTTTTCTCACTAGTTGCACAAATAACTATTGTTTGTGGACATATGTGTTTGTTTGTTCCATTTTTAGACTTTTTCACATGGACATTGTGAACTTACCTCATAACTCAAATCTTAATATTGACAACATTTTATATATTATTATAGTGGTTTGAGGTGAACTTGTAAACTAAGTAGGATGAACCTATGATGACATAGGTACGGACGGATCATTCATAACCGTAAAACTGACTGTCTTACTGAGATAAAGAGTCTATTTTAGTCCACCAAAGAAGACGATTAAGCTTTCGATCAAGAACATTCACATCCCTCTCGTGTAAATATTACTTGTCTACAAAAATGTGATCTTCGTTAAGTTTTCAGTATCAGGAAAAGTGAAAGATATTTATTCTTAGTATGTATTTTTTAGGCAACAAATATATAATGATTGTTAATCACAGTTTCGTTCGTTTTCAGTCATTGCGAGAGGTAATTCCTCACGTGAAGAAGGAGCGGCGCCTTTCTAAGATAGAAACCCTCACACTGGCCAAGAACTACATCATGGCTCTGACAAACGTCATCTGTGACATGAGGTAAATAAACTATATAGGTAATTCATTCGTTTAATTAAATATAAAAATACAATTCCTAAAAAAATTGTGAATTATGAAGGTAAACGAAGCATCCACAACGACTCCTTCGGTACATGTTACGATATGTAGGTTTGATTTAGTTATGGCCGACTGTAAATTGTGTTTAATACGGAAAATTTCATTTAAAGCCAAATTTTAGGTTAAGGCATATGATTCACAAAAGTTACAACAATTAAAAAATCCACTTGTCGTAAAAGATTTTTAATAAACACTACGTATTTATGTTCATTTGCTTTATAATTATTTATTGCAATGGTTTTTATCTTATTCATCTGCATTGTACTTTTTTAGGCCTATCTGCATTTGCTTTTACAAGGCATTATTATTGGAAACCTATCCACGATACAATCATTTTAATCGTTAAAACCCTAGTACTTTACCCTTATTAAAACCTACCCCCTTATTACTTTAGTACTTTAGGATATGGTTGCAATCATCAGTGATCAGTCGTCAAGCTACCGATCAGTGCCGTAGTTGGACGATTCAGCTGGTATTAGCTTTTTCTATATATTCTGCACTGTGTAGTAGACTCCACGTTTTCGTAGTCTACTAAAGCCGTAACAATTTTTGGAATAAATATAACTTGAGCCAATGACACAATGTCCTGCAGTAAAACTACTATTTCTTTACAGTTCACAGAATGGTGTAACAGTTTTAATAATAGGGTAAAATCTCATAGCATATATAATTTACCCCTCAACTATCATATTATGAAAACTAAAAAAAAAATAGAATTTCTAAATAGCGGACACTGACAGGTAATCAACCATGTTTTCTATAAGTATAAAACTGACTACAAGTCAATAGATGGTATTCCTTCTCAGTATCTAACTTGAATGGAATTGATTATATGTTTGAGCTTATATGGTTGGTGCACCTTGGACATTTCCAAGTCATTAGGTTTTTAGTACGTTAAAGGATTAAATCACAGTTTTACTTAAGTTTTCAAGTCTACGTCTCAAGTACATAGCCTCTCTCGTTTCTCCAACTCTTTTATCTTCGCATTCAATTTTACTGTTTTTTTTTTCAAAATAGGGTACTTTTGAATGTTTACTTGAATTGCCTTGTGGTGGTAATTCCTCCTATGTACATTTTCAGGGGGGAGGACAGCCCTTACGAGAAGACCCTCCCATCTGCCACATCGCCATCACCGTCAACCACGCCAGGGGATGAGAAGAGCTTCTACGACTTTGAGTAGTCCACTTCCCCCTCTACATCGCAACTCGAGAACATAGACTTCAACATTTTAACTATCTAGTATAAGTAAATGATTCCACAGACTGTTAAGGACTGATCATTATGGAATCGAATGGGAATCAACTATAGACAATTGACTAGTTTCATTGTAGTGAGTTTGTTGCTTATGCACGAGTAGAGTACAACAGAAGGGGTTATAATTTGTGATAATTATTATAGGTGATATATTTTGTAATCATAAACTTTAGATGAATTATGTAGTGAACCCATAAGAGAATGGTCGGTATAAATTACGTTGTTATGTTATCTTGTACAGGAACTCCTAACTCTAACCATAGTTTTAAGTATTCAAAATGGTTTGGTCCAAGGTAAACCGGTGATTTTAGAAAATAGTTTCTTGTAAAGATACATTATGGTAATATTCTATCTTACAAAATGAATCTAGTCAAATATGCGTTAAGTTCAATTCGTAAATGTAAAGTGACATGTATGTGCCAACAAATGTGATTTAACAATTAATTAACTAATACTGTATATTAATGTATGTTAATTGTCTTTCGCTTTTTGTACACTTCCATTTAACTATATCCCATTGTAACATATGGTTTGAACTATAGTAATCACTGTGCAATGAAGTACACCCAAAATAGAGTGAACCAAAATAAAATGGCCGTGTGGAAAGTTTGACAGCAGTTTTATCTAATATTTAATTTCGATGAAATTTGTCATCATTACATCAGATTTATTTTCATGATGGTTTTACTCTTTTGACATTGCCATCAGTACACATACTTAAAGGATACTTAATGTTTAAGCACATACCTACATGACATTTAAGACTTCGTTAAAATAAGGGTGGATTTAAATTTTTGCAAAAACACAAACCGATATGTTTTAGTTTTCTTTCATCATAGTTAACTGGTAACAACTTATTCCTAACAGATTTTCTTACTGAGATAAAACTTACTTACATTCTCTAAAATAAATATAGTGAAAGTAAATTATACCTAACTCTATTATACACTGCACGTGTATCTTAGTAATATTTTGTAGCTTAATTCGTGTATTTAGTATGTTAAAGTTTACAATTATAAACCAAGCAGTACAATTAAAAGAATTTAAACTTTGTTATGGGTGAGATGTTATATATTAACATTAGTTTAGGGAGGAATCTGACTGTATAGTTAAATTAAAAACTGTTACGATCAAACTAGATTAATCAAACGGCTGTGGTTGTTCCGCAGTTGAATTGCAACTTGTTCTTAAGATGGATTCGGAAGATGCAAAGATGGCATCAGAAACGTCAGCTACTCTTTTCGCAAGACCAATTATGTAGTCATCTTCTGTTGATCAAGATTCAACCTAAAGTCTTATATCTAGCATAATAATTCCATTCTTTACCAGTGTTCGCATGTATCTATTTTACTCAGCCCATGTAGTAAACAATTCAACGAAACGTGCAAAAAATAAGTCGGTTGATACACGACAAAAAATATTATGTTTTATACTTAAGAATTTTCTGATATTTCAAGGGAATTTCTATGATTTTTAGCTTTCCACTAAATAATACTATCTATTATTATCTTCTACTACGGAAGTGTCCTGATTGTACTGGAAGATGTAGTTTCACTTGCCAAAAAAGGCTCATATCGTCTTCAATAAATAGTTTTAAATGAGGGTTTTATTTATTTTTAAGTTGGGGTGGCCAAAGAAAGTTGACAATCATTGGCTTATTCAGGCGGCAATAGTTCGAAAGTTTATCTGGATTACATTTTAGATCAGTAACCTTGCCTTTCACACAGTACCATATCAGTCTAAATCATCTCGTAGGCTAACCGTCTTTTCATGAAACTCTGCAGTCAAATTTAGGATGTCTAAAGTAGATCTTTCAAAACCGAGGTGTCTAAAGTAAATCTGGACGAGCTTGAGATTTCTAAAATATACTCGTATGTGGATGAACCTATGATGACATAGGTACGGACGGATCATTCATAACCGTAAACGTAATCATATGATCATAACATAATCTTGTTGAACCTCAGGTGTCTAAGTAGATCCTTGCCGAATCTGGTATGTCTAAGTAGATCCTGGTTGAACCTGGGACGTCTAAGTAGACCCTTGCCGACCCTGTGGTGTCTAAGTAGATACCTATTGCCGAACCTTCAATGTTTAAGATACATTTTTGCAAATCTGGGATGTCTAAAGTAGATGTGTTGAAACAAGTAATATCCTAATTAGATCAAGGTCAAACCGGAGCCGACTCTAGTAAACCCAACAAATTGGGGGCCCCCAAAGATGTATCTTGCTAAGCCTGGGATGTTTAAATTAATATCAAATCTGTCTAAATTTTGTTGTATCTGCAACTCGTTTCTTAGTAAAACCATCTTGTTAAGTACCCCTTTCTCTCGTGTTTCCGAAAAATCATACGATTGTTTTTTTTTACTTTGGAATTTAAGAAGCTAATTAGGGTTATTGACTGGATACAGTGTCGTCTATCGTATTTTAAGGTAGGTGTATCTCTCTCTGGATGTTGTCTTATAAAACCCTGTTTGCCTTAAAGGGTAGTCGTGTAGCTTATATTAAGACGCCTAATCGTATACATGTCTCTTCGGTGTTGTTGTTTATGGTCCAATTGTTGTTAAGGGTTGACTTTAGGTAATGTTATAAAATCACATGGTATCGCATGTCCAAGTTGTGTAGAATCTATGTACTTTGGAATTTGTGGTTTTCTTGAATGTCGTGGAGATAATTATCACCGATTTAGTTTTTCATAAAAAAATAAGATATTTTTGTCGTTATATTTATAAGGATGGATTTATGCGACAGTTTTCATAGTTCAATGAAACAATATGAACCTGCAGTTTTTTTTAGAATTAATTTTGCCAATATTTTTGATATTTCACAGTAAAACAACGTGTATACGACTCCAAAACTGCAGATGGAATATACGTAAGATTAAATAATATGTTATACCTGTATAACAAAACAAAATTTTTTGAACCTTAATGAGTAGAAGGTAGTTACTTGTTTACAAACTAATTCAATTCCAGTGAATTACTATGACGTAATAGCATTATCTGGATTACATAGGTAACCGAACTTTTTTTAAATGTATATTTTTAAAATTAAGAAGCCATAAAAATTAAATTTTAGGTAATACAGTTATGGTACACTTAATGTTTGTGGATTTATAAATGTTTACTCTAACTTATAAATTTAACCACGTAAACAGTTGTAAATCTATGTAGGATAATAGATTTATTTGGCTGTGATCTTTTATATGTTCAAATTATTTAATCCTCGTTGAAACCGAGGAGAATCAAAGGATTTAGGATCTAATATCTGTTGGTGTATATTTTATGTTTGACGAAGTTTGCAAAACATTACTTGTAATATAGTTTTGACTTTGATATACTGTGTTTGCAGTTAGGATACAGTTTGTCGTAAAACTCATATTTTCCATTACAGCTTTTATTGCGTTTATAACGCCCAAGAGTCGCTGTCTTCTTACTCTCTTAGCTGTAATTTTCTTCTTTACTGTCTTGGATATCCCATAAAGGTATTTCGTACGTTACATTTGAGAAATTATATTTTGTAAAACAGTAAATCAATAGATATTTTAATTTGAGGTTGTTTAATTATGGTTTTAAAGTTGAACCTGTTGTTTGAGGCCAATTTTCCCCTCTAGCTGTTCAACTTTTTATTTCAATCCTACGTTTCAGTTGCTGCCGATTTTATAATAATAAAAAAATTTTTTAGTTAACTGCTTGACAGAATTTCCTCTATTTACATGTCATTTACTTAAATAGCTTTTCAATCACGCCAAACTGAAAAGGCGATTTACTTTAGCCACGGCATCTTTTACATCCCGATACATGAAAAAGGGTTGAATATACCTTCCAAGATTGGTTCGTTCAACTACGATCTCTTTTAAGTGAAACTATGTTTATTTCTGATTTATATACAGTAGATTAGATATCTGCTTCCGTATACAAAATCAATCGTTCAATTTATATTTTTATTGCAAAAACATGTTTAACCGAATCTTATTATTTGTGTCACATTTTATGGATACATTAAATATTCCATAAAACAATTTTCAAATGTGTATTGGTGTATTTCCAATGATTTTGGTGTTGTGATAATTTTTTTCAAAAATAATAGGATTATTTATTTGTTTGGTATATTTTAAATCTTGAATTGTAAAAATATTTTATGAGTGGGATATGCAGGAAAACTAAAACATTACTATGCTTTCGTTTGAAATACCTGGTATTGTCATACATAAATTCCTAAATGTGTTTAAATTTGCTATTTCATCACAAGGAGTGCGATGTGAACTTATGAAAGGCTTTATCACGAATACGTTAAATGTAAAATTCTCCTTTTTAATAAATATTGCTCATTTGGCTGCTAGTATTATCACGTTGATTCATTTTTACTCGCTAAAATCGTATCCAGGAATCAGTATAGTTAATAAAGTGGGTATCAAACCTCCCACATACGAATCTCAAAGGACGTTTTCATCTGTAATCACTTAAATCGTACTTTTTCTTCGACCCTTAGAATAAACTTACTTATCTTTCCGTCTCTCATACTCTCAACTAGACATATATTCATTGCTCAGACAGAATACATGTGTGTAATGCTACACTTGTAAAGCGATGGCCTATCAATCCATACGAATTATTCTAAGAGAAAAGGTCAATTGATGTAGTCTGCATATCGTGGTGTACGCTTCGCTAGAAGGCAGCATGATGGTGTGTCTTGTAACAGATACTTTCACATGCCAAACCTTCTGTATTGTTGTCCTACTACTATCCATGTTTCTCGTGCGCCTTCTGTCTTGGAAATATCAATTATAGTGTAATTAAGGATTTTATGTTACGTGTATATACGTAAGCTGTAAACATAGAAAAATAGAATAAATATAGACCAACATCAGTGCTGCTGTTACCATGTTCCGGCGTCCACCGCTAGGAGTGCCGTGTAGTTACGGCACACAGGCCTGCAGCGGTGTGCGCGGTAACTACACGGCACTCCTAGCGGCATATTGCGGAACCTTCCTTTGACAGTCTATATTTATTATATTTGTCTATGCTGTAAACTAGACAGTAATAGTACAGTTCGAGGTATTATATTGTTGTGAATGTTACTTTGGATCACTGAGACAGTTTTACAGAGATATAAAACTGAGAAAAATTAGGTTGGCAACCGAAACAGCTTAAAGATTACTACAAAATGTGTATGAGTTCAAGAAAAAAAAAATATATATATATATATATATATATATATATAGCTGGGGTTGCAATTACGATTACAATAAATTACAATTAAAACGAAAGAAATATTATCCGTATCAATAAAAAGAGTTATTACGAATATATAATAGGCTACGTACCTGTAGACGGACTAGCAGCGGCTACACTTACCCGATTCGGTCCGGTTCGGTCCGGTCCTCCAAAATGCGGAACAATGCTTCCCATGTTTTTAAATGGAGGCGGCTACACTTACCCGATTCGGTCCGGTACGGTCCGGTTCGGCGCGGAACAATCGTCCAGGGAGCATTCATCCGCATTTTGGCGGAAGCATTCGGGGCGGACCGGACCGAATCCGATAAGTGTAGCCACCTACTCCCGAATTTCGGATGAGGATCGGGTGGTTCCGTGAGCACTCGGCTAAAAAAGTGATGAATTCAATTAGGAAAAATAGTTATTTGTAGGATATAGGCCTAAGAATTTAGGCAATTATGTTCATATATTGCCTCGATCATGGAAGAAGATAATTATGTCTACACGACCGCTAAAAATAGTCTGAATTTTGTCGCAATATTCGGAGACGATTACAATGTCTACACGGCCGCGAGGGATTATAGGATGTTTACCGAGATTGCATGCAAATACAACCACAATTTTTTTTTTTAATTTTTAATTTTTTGGTAGGGTAAGGGAGGGTAAGAGTACGCGGTCGGGTAAGAGTACGCAGGGATTTTTTGGTCAGTTGGCAGCACTGCAGGGAATTAGTTTTGTGCTAGTTCAGTGTGCCACCAACGAAGAAGGAAGCCGCCATCACGCCGAACTTCAGCTCGTCTTCGTTTGGATTTGACAAGGTAAAATGCAGTTTTTATACTTTGGCATGTAATATTTTGAACACAGAACTTATGATTTTGTGACCTGATTATAGCTTGTAGATTCCTTTGTCCCACATAGTAGCTTAGAATAGTTAATTAGGAATCGAACGATGTAAGTTTTGAGTCAGTTGCTGACAGGTGCTGGCACCTAGTGACATTTTTTTTAAATATGGTCTGGGAGGCTAAGAGTACGCAGCACTGCGTACTCTTACCCACACTGCGTACTCTTATCCTCCCTGTCGGCGATTGCTACATAAAAAAATCAATCTGCTCTTGTTTGGAGATCAATCAACTCAAATTGTCAATCTGTTCAATTTCGTTATTTAGCAATAAATTAGTAACATTTTCTTTTTTTCAGATTCACTGTTTTCTTTAAAATGGCTCCATACAAAAGAAAAACCGACAGAGTACTTTTAACCGCTGAGACCTTGGAAGAAGCTAAACGAAAACTAGAAGCTGGGAAGAGCAAGAGGGAAGTAGCTCGAGAGTTGGGGATCAACGAGTGCACTTTGCGAAAAAGGCTGAAAACTGTAAGTTATTAGCTATTTTTCTTCAGCCAAAGTCCTTGCCACTATTACTTATAAGCTACTGTACTAGATGGTATAAAGGTGCTATAATCAGAAAGTTTGTGAACATCGCTCATACTGGCCCAGTCAACAATGTTTTTTTTTTTGCGGAGGGACCTGTTTGCGCTACCCTGTCGTTTTTACAGACATTGTTTGTGGATTTTATCACTTTTGTGACATCTGTACGGATCACTAATTAATATCTATAGCTTAGGCTAAACTGTGTGCTTGTTGCAGGGGACAGTAGCAGAGTCACTTGGGAGATACAAGAAGGCCTTGACTGATGAGATGGAGCGTGAGCTAGCTCAACATTGCAGGGACCTTGACTCAAGATTTTATGGATTGACTAGGAAACACATAATGAAAGTTGCTTTTGACTACGCTCAAATGAATGGTGTTTCTGAACGGTTCAATCAAGAAAAAAAAATGGCTGGCAAAGATTGGCTAAAATCTTTTTGTAAAAGAAACAACCTCTCTGTTAGGGCACCTGAAAATTGTAGTATGGCTAGGGCAATTGGTTTCAATAGAGTTCAGGTGTCTAGGTTTTATGATAATTTGAAAGAATGTTGCATTCAAAAAAAGTTTCCTGCTCACAGGAAATTTAATGTTGATGAGACAGGGTTGTCGACAGTCCCTAGTAGGACTCCAAAGGTATTGACGCCTAAAGGTAAAAAAACAGTTTGCAAAATTGCAAGTGCTGAGCGGGGAATAACAGTCACAGCAGTGTGCTGCATGAGTGCAACTGGAGTTTTTGTGCCTCCTGCACTAATTTTTCCAAGAAAAAGAATGAATCCTTCTCTTTTCACAGATGCTCCTCCTGGAACTTTGAGACTTGTGACGGACACTGGATATATGAACTCCGATCTATTTCTTGATTGGCTGAAACATTTTGTGCAGCATACAAAACCATCTGCTGATGACCCTGTTTTACTCATCGCTGACAATCACTCTACACACTGTTCCCTTCAGGCAATTTTGTACTGCCGAGAGAACAATGTCACATTTTTGACTCTTCCACCTCATGCAAGCCACATCATCCAACCTCTCGATAAGTGTTTCTATGGCCCACTCAAATCAGCATTTTCAACTGAAGCGGAAAAATGGCTTGTTCAACATCCTGGTGAAGTGATAAAGTTGAGAGATGTAGCTGGCATTTTCAAAGAAGCTTATTCAGCAACAGCCAAGATAAAGCTCGCTGAAAAAGGATTTAAAGTTACTGGTATCGAACCCTTTAATCCAGACATCATTGATGATGAGCTTTTTGCCCCATCCCTTGTCACTGAACAACCTCAAAGCCAAAATGAAGATGAGACAGCAAACCTCCAAGACCAAGTGACTGATGCCAGTAATCCAGACAAAGACTTAGCCCTACCATTGGATATCGAGTCACCTGAGGGACAGCAAGCTGCAGACCCACTGGAACTTGTACCTGAGGCACAGATAATCAAAAGTTCGACTCAAAGTTCAACTATAAAAAAGTCCATTCATTTGTTACTTCCTTTGCCAAAACGAGAGGTCATGCCAGATCAGAAAGGCAAACGCCCATCTCAAAAATCAGAAATAATTACTTCTTCACCTTTTAAAGCTAAGTTAGAGAACAAGGAAAAGGTCAAACTAAACCTAGAGAAAGAGAAATTGGAAAAAATTGAAAGAATTAAAGCTAATAAGGTTGCGAAAAAAGCCTTTTTAAAGGATTTCAAACAGAAAAAGTTAAAAATAACCCTGCGAGCCTAAAGAAAAAGGGAGTTAATATAAAAATTGAGAAAAGCACACCTATTAAGCAGAACAAGGTTATCAAAAAAGAACCTTCAGACGTTATTCCCAAAAAAATCCTACGCCTTGATCAACCATGCTCAAGTTCAGCCCAACCGGGAACTTCCCAAGACAGGAGTTCTCAAGAAGACGTCACCGTCTGCGGTGGATGCGGAGAATCTTTTGTTGAAGACTGGATCCAGTGTGGAATCTGCAATGTGTGGTGGCATGAGACTTGCTCTGCTTATGAAGGCAGCGGACCATTTGTGTGTGATCACTGCTAGTGCGTACTCTTAGCCCATCATCCGCGTACTCTTACCCTCCCGGGAGCCCAAGAGTACGCAAATGGCATTTTTTTCTAAATAATTTTTTATTAACTTATATTTTTATATAAATGTACAAAACTTTGTACTTTTGATAGGTAATAACTAAAGCATATTGTGTGAAAATTTGAGTTTCATATACCTTATACCCAATCATTTATGACCAATCATTTACAGCAAAAAATGCACTAAGTGCGTACACTTAACCTCCCTTACCCTACCCCTCAAAAAAGCCAATTGCCTCGCGCCCTAGGCAAGTGACTACCGTGCCTATTCGGTCAATCGGTCCTGACTAAACACGTTCTGTATTGCTGTACTTGTGCCCCGTGCTCGTGTGTGTCTTCCAAAATATCATACAAGTTTAGCTACCTCTTCCGGCCGGACCGAAACGATTCGTACAAGTGTAGCCACCCCTCACAAATTCGGGCCGGACCGAACCGAACCGGACCGGACCGAATCGGGCAAGTGTAGCCGCTGCTTAAGGTGCGTACCTATTAATTATCGTACAATCAATCTCGGTAGAAGAATGTTTTAAAAAAGATATTTTATTCTTGGTATTTGAGTGAATTTTATATTTTTCCGGTGTAGTGGGTATTAAAATCTTTGAAATGTCACCTGATTTATGGAAATTGGCGAAGAATTAAGGAAGTAATGGCCTACCGACAAAATAAAGTAGTTTATAAATTATAATATATATGGATTGTTGTATAACATACCAACAAAGCAATTGTGAACGTTTTGGTCAGAAACGTAAAAATAGCTTTGGCTTTGGGAAGTTCAAACAAATATTTATTAGAAAATAGCTAAAAGGCTGCCAAGCTTTTTTAGCAATTTATGTTCATTACTGACTTAAAGGGGTCACAGGCGGGGCAACAGATCAGATATAAATATAATTTGTGATTGTTTATCAATTGAATTTAAATATTTTAAACATCTAGTTGATACAATTTACAATTCCTGAATAACTGTTACTATTACCATTAGTTCGTTACGTAACCTAGATTTTGAGTGTAGAACGAAGTAGCTATATCCACAAATTAATGTCTATTTTTGGAAATATATCTACATAGTCAAGCTATGTTTGTACAGATTTAAATGGTTAGTATATAGATTATGATGAATATTAAATATTTTAAGAGTACTTCTTATTGGTTAGTTAGTATTATAAATAGTGTAATTGAATTTTAAGAGTTTATTCGGTATGCTTGCTTGAAAAATAAACTTTTATGAGACATGGTTGAGTTGCAAATTATTTTCCTAAAAATTCAGACTACCGTATTGCATTGAACACATTAAACAATAGACTCCAAATTTTGAATTGTTTTGTTCAATATTAAAAAGATTCGTTTCATCGAACATACACATACACATGAAAAATATGTGCAACTAACTCAATAAATGAGGTAAATGAATTAAATGAAAACTATTATTTTACTAGCCTACTATTATTTTTTATGTAAAACAAAAATTTTACTTTAAACTATAGAAGTTGTAAAATTACAGTGCCATACGGTTGATCTTAGTTCAAAGAAATTGTCTGTCTAGGCATTAAAAATACATAGTTGATGTAAGGGTTTATTTGATTTCCCTTTATAAAATCTTGGACGATAAATCAAATTCCAATATTGACCAAACAATTTTCTAAAACGTATTAAGTATGGGAATTTAATATGGATACAATACCATGAATTAGTATTTTCATTCCATGTTGACGTTATAAGTTGAAGTCTTTTTTGGAATTAAAGAGAACTTACTTCAACTCACTGTAAGGGTGGGCCGATGTTCAACATTGCTTAATTTTTGTACATTTTCATTGGATTTTACCATATCAAACTAAAAAAATGACATTATAATTAATAACATAATTTACGTTCCAATTGCTTTCGTAGCATAACAAACTTAATAATGAAAAAGACGTTCAAAGTACCATAGAGGCTTATTGCTACATTTACAAGCTACAGTACATGTTATTCACCGGTTGCAGCCAGTTCTATATGGTCGAGATATCCACATCACTACTGTTTTCATAATGAATAGTGTTGTGACATCATAATGATAATTAAAGGATTTGAATGATTTAATCTTAAAGTAGAGCAGAGAGGTAATCAATCAGAGATACCTGTTTTATAACATATTATAAGTTAAAAATCTGGTTTATACAGTAATACAACTTAATCCAATTATAGTACAGATTTTCTCAGTATGCCACTGCCTTTGTGATATCATAGTTTGTCGATTTCCTATTCCATATCAAAAGCAGACGACAAACAGAAATCAATTAGCCTAGCTTTCCTTTGGGCACAATATTCTTTGTACTTCTACATTTACTATTAACATTTCCCTATTCGTAGTCGACTTTATATGCTTTCCTTCTAACTAGTATTGTAAAAAGGGTTTAAATAAAACACTGTCCTTAGAGAAACGTAGAATAAGACAATTTTTTTGTTATAATTTTCCTTATTCATAGCCTTGAGAACCAAGTCGAGAAAAAATTGGTTACATAACATGCTCGAAGAACTAAAAGTTATTTATATCTATTTGAGGATGTAAATATTAAAACTTGAGTGACCGTTATATGTGAGGGCTTATTTAAGTTGCAACTGGGCTTAATACTTACGGGGGAGGGTTTTTTATTGGTTTGTGACATGAACGCAAGAGGTAGCACTGGCTTACTCATTATACTTACCACTTTATCAACTCGCTGCTCAAATTATTCACAGTGATATACCTTATATCTAAGATATCACAGTGCGTCCTCTGTGTCTTGTCGTAATACGAGAATAGTTATGTTAATATTACCATCTCCGTTTATAGAGGTTGTAAATCACTAATCACATCTCGCTACGACTTACCATAAACGCGTTTATTGAGATGTCTTTACCCGACTTTAACGGCTATAAAAGACGCGAGCGTGAAAATAAAATCGTTGACGGGGACGGCGACGGATATTCGTTAAATGAAGCGAGCGGACATTCATGTAGAGGATATTGGAAGATTCTCGTACCGATACCAGGAACACTATTTAGAATGGATATACACAAAGTCAAAGGACTCATAGTCAACGGATTAATAGGAGTGTGCTTAATCTTGATAATAATTAATTGTGAAAACTCACGTACTACCGGTATCATCGATCTCTTTTAATACGTTGTGGACTACAACATTATGTCCCAGTCAATTTGCATACCATTTTTTCTAACTATGTTGGTAATGTACTTCTCCCGACACTAATAGGTATACTCAAATATGAAAACCTGCGTGACGAACCTAAATAAGTTGTAACATCTTAACTGTCTTCTAAATACACTACACCACATGAAAACGTTGTTTATTAGAAATGCTTTTAACAGGTGTGTTGCTATGCAAACAAAGCAATTGTCATGTGATTATAGACAAGGTCTACAACAGTGATACTGTACTGAGTGTCTTTTAACAGGTGTGTTTCTTTCACTTCCAATAATGTACAATAAATAAAACGTGACATATGTTACAAAAATGAATAGTTATTTGTGCAACTAGGGAGCAAAGGGAGCAATTTACTCACTCGAGACGGTTCGTGAGGAATAATTTCTCGAGTGAGGCAATTGCACTTTGCACTCGAGTTGCACATAATATATTTCCTACAGTTACCATAAAACAAATAAATTGGTAAAGAAACGTGACATATTTTTTACACAGAAGTGAAATTTTAATATTACATTTAATGATACAACAGTACAACCAGCTGACCAGCTGATTTACAACCATCCAGTGCTGCCAACGTATTTCACGCGCATAAGACCTCGTCTGCATGTTACGCGCTCACTATTTCGTGCCTTCACGTTGCAAATCTGGAGTGAGTGAGACAAGTAATTTAGAGTGAGAAAATATTAACATTGTCTCACTGATGAGCGAATTGGCCACTTTGCTTTCTCAAATCAGTGAGAGAACATGTACATTGTTAGGTAACTGTAGGAAAAAATATTCCTCACAAGACTGCTGCATGTCTGTGTGTGAGGAAGAGTCCATTGCACTCGCTGTTGCACTTGCTGAAGTCACTTAAAAAAATTTATAAACTTAAATAAAAGAACTTTTCTAGCTAACAATAATATAACTTATTCATTAAAATTAAAAATAAAATTAAATATCTTATTTCTAGACAACATAAAACCATCAGAATATAAGTTCTAAACACGTGTTAAATTAAAGCAAATTAAATGTAATGTTCCCTCAAAATAAAATATTTCTTACAATTTAAAAACCAAAATCAATCCGTGTCTATAAAAATGTGGACATGGGCATGGGTTGGTGGATAAGTTGTAGATTTAATAGAATTTTTAAATTCAAATAAAAAATGAATGTAAATATTTTAACATTGCTTTGTATTACTTTTCTATGGCAAAGTGACAAACAAAGCAACTGTCGTGTGATTACAAACTAGTTTACAACATCATGTGCTTATCGACTAATTCAATAACATTAAAGAAAATAACGTAATAATTGATTATTTGACAATCTGGTGACTTTGACTGTATTGTATTTTTCGTAAAATGTTGCTAAATACACCAAACGTGTGATAACAATACATGACATCGTCATCAGTGTCTGCCAAGCCTATTTTAGTTGTTATACATATTGCGTAGGTATGCAGGTTGTTTACTCTACATGCATCTCCATAGCAACGATTAGACTCCATGGGCACACGTGGTAAAACGTTTACATTTACATATTTACTAAAAAAAAGACCTCAACATTAAGTTCTCCCTCCGGATAACATTGTGTTTTTACAGCTCCATACACCAACATGAATAACTTATGGCAACGATGAGTGTTGGTGTGAAAATGATAGTGTTTTTACTTACTAAGATCGACAGACTTTAAGCCAAGCCCAACATAAAAGACCTGTTTACAATGAGAACAGAGTTCAGTTTTGAATAAAAACCGCTTCTTACACTTCTGAAGATTAATTGTAAACCATCTGATCTAGAAGTTACTAGAAGCTACATAGAAAATCCACAATACTTGATATTAAAATGTAGGGTTCCTTGTCTCTTAACAAACTTCAAGAGGATGAACTCGTTTCAAACAATGTTTTGTAAATCTCAACTCTTACGTCATTATTTTTAATTGAACAAACGCTACTTTGCATTTAATCCTGCTTCCTCAACAAAGGGTTCTCTTTCTCTACATTCCATCGTTTGGGCTTGTTCTCAAATTGGTTTATATCGAGCGTTTGTGACTTGTGAAATGAAATGAAAATGAAATGAAATGAAACCAGTGCTTTATTTTCATTAAAACAATGCATTACAAAATAATAAGATTTTTTCATAAATAACTCTTCCATATACAAAGAAAATATCTACATACAACCTTGAATCACACTTATTCTATCGTGTTTTACCTTAATATCATTTTGTTTTGTTTAACTGCACTATATCAGCATTAGCCCAAAGGACTGTCAGCTGGGCTGGCAGCTTTCATACAAAAAATTTTTATTTTCTCCTTATTTTCCATATTCCCTGCAACACGTTAGGATGGCAAACAATGTATTTTTGTGTTTTTTTTATGCAAAATTAAATTCTGACACAAGCTCATATCTATATTTCCATGCATTAATTAAATAACATCCTAGACTTCGCCAGTCCCTACCATTTAAATATGAGTGTAAATCTTCCCTAGTAAGTTCTTTTTTTTGAAGAAAACGTTTCCTTACACCTGCAAGGATTGGACACCTACAGATATAATGAAATACATCCTCGTTTTCCCTTAAATTACATAAACTGCACACGTAATTTTGATCACCTATCCAAGGCTTGTAGTTTAGATAAATTACTCCAACTCGTGCTTTGTAAATCCATTTTATCGCCCTTAGAGATAAATTAGCATTGATATAGGACGAGTTACCCAATTCCAAGTTCAAGGTCGCATATGTTTGGTGATAACGCGATCCTAAAGCCGCTTCCAAATTCGCCCGATATTCTGCCTCTCTGACTGATTCTAGGACACCTAATAATGCCGATTGTATACTTACCGGATCAGTATCCATTTCCACCACTACGCCATGCGCGCGCCCTAGCTTCCGCCATTCTTCACACCAATACACATTCTTTTCAATTACCTGTTTCGCCAGTATATGCGGTAACCGGTCTTCAGCAAGGGATAAGACTCGAACTAAGTAATTTAGATTACTATGTAAAGTGTACAAATATACTGATTCTGC